CCATGCTGGTTCTTCCATTGACTCGCCTTACCCGTAAGGAGACTCCATTTGTTTGGACTCACGAGTGTGAGGAATATTTCCAGGAGTTAAAGAAGAGACTGACTACCGCACTTGTGTTGGTCCTTCCTGATCCTGCTGAGGAAGTTGAGTTGTACACCGACACCTCCGGAAAGGGGCTCGAATGTGTGTTGATGTAGTTGAGCAAGGTGATTGCCTATGCTTCGAGGCAGTTGAAGCCTCATGAAGAGAACTACCCGACTCATGATTTAGAGTTGGCTGCTATTGTGTTTGCTTTCAAGATTTGGAGGCATCATCTCTATGGCATGAAGTTTGCAGTGTTCAGAGATCACAAGAGTTTGAAGTACCTGTTCGATCAGAAGGAGCTGAACATGAGATAGAGAAGATGGATGGAGTATCTAAAGGACTACGACTTTGAGTGGAAGTACCATCCTGGCAAGGCCAATATGGTAGCTGATGCTTTGAGTCGAAAATCTGTGAGTCTATCCAGTTTGACCATGGGTGATTATGATATCATCGAACAGTTTCGAGATCTGACGGTGACCTCTTTGTTTGGGGGTGCACTTCTCAAAATGGAAACCGTGCAAGTTGAGAACGAGCTCATGGAGAAGATCAAAGAAGCGCAAGTGCAGAGAGAGTGCCTAGATTATGTGAAGAACCAGGACGGTGTGTCTTGGAATGAGGATGGACTGTTGACCTTTTAGAAGAGGATTGTGGTTACTCGAGGTCCGTTGACTGTTGAAGTGATGACAGAGGCTCATAAAGGCCAGTTTAATGTCTACCCTGGTGCTACAAATATGTACCAGGATTTGAAGATGAATTATTGGTGGCCGGGCATGAAGAAGGACATAGCTGTGTTTGTGTCTAAGTGTCTGATATGCCAGAAGGTAAAGATAGAACACCAGAAGCCGTCTGGTAAACTTCAACCTCTTGAGATTCCGGAATAGAAATTGGATAGCATTTTCATGGACTTCGTGGTGGGATTGCTGAAGACTCGGGCTGGTTGCGACTCTATCTTGGTCATTGTGGACAGATTGACCAAGTCTGCCCACTTTCTTCCACTGAAGGTGAGCTTCACTACTGAGCAGTTGGCCAGACTATATGTTTGCGAGATTGTGAGACTTCACGGGGTGCCCGAGAGTATCATTAGTGATAGGGACTCGAAGTTCACATCTCGGTTGTGAGAGACACTGCAGGAGGCTTTTGGTACCCAGTTGAGACTGAGTACAGCCTATCACCCTCAGACTGACGGACAAATTGAGCGAACCATCCAGACATTGGAGGACATGTTGAGGGCTTGCACTTTGGAGCAGGGTTCAACATGGGATAGGTACCTGCCATTGGTTGAATTTTCGTACAACAAATGTTTCCATGCTAGCCTGGACATGGCACCCTACGAGGCATTGTATGGTAGGAGGTGTCGGACTCCTACCTGCTGGTCTGAGGTTGGAGATAAGGAGCTATTTGGCTTGGACGTACTTTGTCCAAGATACTACCCTGCAGATCCAGTTGATCAGGGAGAAGCGGAAGCAGGCGCAGAATCGCCAGAAGAGTTACTACGATGTCAAGCATCGATTGGAGTTCAGTGAGGGTGAGAACGTGTTTGTGAGACTTTCACTTGTCACCGGTGTTGGTCGGGCACTCGGAGTGAGGAAGCTTAGCCTGCGATTCATTGGGCCATACCAGATTCTTGGTAGGGTAGGGCCTGTTGCCTACCGGCTTGCCTTGCCTCTGAACTTGGCCAACATCCACGACGTGTTTCATGTGTCCCATCTTCGCAAATATGTAGCGGATCCTGCGCACGTGGTGTAACCAGATGATGTGGAGGTTCGGGAGAACCTAAAGACTCCCGTCAGACCACTCAAGATCCTCGATCGTGGCGAGAAGCAGCTGAGGAGCAAGATCATTCCGATGGTCAAGGTGCAGTGCACTGGGAGAACTCCTGATGAGTGCACTTGGGAGCGAGAGGGCGAGCTTCTCCGGCAGTACCCCGACTTCCGAGACAAGTATGTTTCTGATTTTGAGGACAAAATCCTTAAAAAGGTGGGGTGAATGTAATGACCCTCACCGTTAATTAAGGAAGTTAATTAAATAAATATGAGAATTATAAAATAATTCCATAATTGACCCTAATAATTATGATAAGGCTTAATTAATATTGGTAAGTGATTAATAATGCTGAAAGTCGCTTTTCTGACGAAAAGTGCATATACCGGTTCGACTCCTCGGTATAAATGCGTACCGATGAAGTATCCCGGAAAATTATGAAAAATGTGTATATGTCACTAGAATAATATATAGGACTCGTAAATCAAGTTTCAAGTTAAAATAATGAGAACTGGTGCCAGAACTGATATTAGCTATGGAAAAACGCGTACTCGAAAATAAAATAAAAATATGATAAATCTTAGAAAAATGAGTAGGTTCAGAATCCTGAGTTTGGGATTAAAATGCTAAGCGTAGCTATTAACGCTAATACAGCGCGATTAAAAATTAATGAGGCTATATAAGGCCTTGGCACAGATTTTTAGGTCATTTCTCTTGTGCCTACGTGAAGTTTCTGAGAGCTTGGCTGCTGCCACCCTTCCTCTTTGTTCTCCATGCATGAGAAAACACCAAGTCACCTCTTTTCTTTGATTTCTTCGTCTCTAATCAAGTAAACACTTGGGTGTGAGTATTGGAGAGTGAGAAAGGTGTAATCTTCTGAGTTGTTGGGGTTGTAAGTGTGTTGGGAAGGGGCTGTTTCTAAGTTGTGTGGTGTGAGAGTGTTTCCTTGGGTTGTTAGAGCTCCGAGAAGCAAACTTTGTGAAGAAATGACCTTGCTTGAGTGATATTTTCGTGTACCTTTGGAGTCAGCACCTTGGGGTTGACTTGTGAGCTCCAAGAGCACCTTTGGTTTGCTGTTTTGAACCTTGGGTAAGTGTCACCACCTTTGATCATGATTTTCTTAGTTAAAAGTTGAGTCTTGGCATGTTAATGAGTTAAATGGGTAACCAACCAGTATATGAACATAAATGGGCTTAAAGATGCATGCTTTAACGTTTAGAAGTGTTAAAAATGGAACCTTGGAAATAATATCTCGTGAAATGCAGAAACTGCATTCTGTCGCGAAATATCTGGATATGCATATCCGGATATGGGATATCCGGATATGTCCCCTACATATATCCGGATATTCTGGGTTTGCGTGAACAGTAACGGTACTGTTCATACAGAATGGTATTGAGGGTTTGTGGACCCTAGATTGTTGAAGTTGGAATTCTGTAATGACTTGTTAAGTTAGAATCTATGTGATTAAGGGCTTGTGGCTTTGTGAGAAGCCTAAAGACATGAAATGTAAAAAGAGAAGTGTTGTCTTTATTTATATGCTTATGAGCTATAGTTGTTGATATGATTGCTGGTCCAAAACAGATTGTGATTCTGCTGTGTTTGGGCTTTGAACTTGTGTGGACTCTTGGTTTGGTAGCTTGCAAGGTAAGCTTTCGTGTCCTCGGTTTCGCCATTATTTGTTTCACCATGTCCCATAGGGGGATGGTTATATGCATGATGTGTTTTCATGTATTGTTTTACTGAGATGCTATTGAACTGTTAAGTGCAAATGTTATATGATATGTATGTGGTGTTCCGCCTAGACAGGAAGCCATGGGGTGGTCCTGTGGGCGGGTACAACATGGCGTGTACTTATGTGGATAATAGACGTATTCCTGCATTTCTCTGATCAGTAGAATAGTTATAACACACATGACATGATTATCTGCTGCATTGCACTGATTTTGGAACTGATATTGAATTACTGCTTTTAGAACTTATATTGCACATGTAAATGAGCTTGGGGTGGAAGATCCTTGAGGACCCCTTGTCTTACTGAGATTTCTGTTTAGAGATCTCACCCCACGTTTGGGGCACATATTTCAGGTTCAGGTAATGCGAGGGTTGAGACCTCTAGCGGCGGGAGGCCGGAGCTTAGCTGATATTGCTGTTTATATGATGATATGTTTGCATGCTGGATTATATTTGCTGATGATATGCTATTAGCTTGTTATTATTATGTTGATGTTGTTGAGACTATGTTTGACTTTGTTGCCTTATTTGGTGAGCATGAGGATTGTTGATGCCATATTGATTGACTATGTCTTAGTTTAGATTTGAGTTGTAATAATGTATCAGGATTACGTCCGGGCTACGTGTTGTAGTTCCGTGATTTTAGATACTCACACTTATCTATATATTGAGGCATTTCAGTTAGTTGTCTTTTGCAATTTACATACAGACAATGTTTTGAAAATGAATTAGGTAATTCAACTTGGTAATGATAATGACACCATAATTGAACAGAAAAAGATATTCTGCAAATTTTAATTAAGGTGGCTTAATACGATGACATGTTAACAATCCGGGTTAACACGGGGTGTTACAACAACCTTTACAATTAACCCAATCACCGTTGATTTTCATCTATCTGACGGTTATAATTTATTGAAAAATTATTGGGTGGTATTTATTAATTAATTATTAATTTCTATAAATTATAACCGTTAGATTGACGGAAATCAACAGTGATTAGGTTGATTGTAAATGTGATAAATTTTTTTGGTTGTAAGTATATTCTTTCCCAATATTTTTTATCTCAAAAAAAGCCTTTTAAAATTTTAATCTAATACACGAGCACATCTTTGGTATTACTGTAGTATGTATTCCTTTACTAAAAGTAGAAAATAGTGATGGTTTAAGAAAAAATAACCATACAAAAAAAGGGTAAATTGATATAAAAAAATATATTATTTTTTTCAAATTAAGTAAATAGTACATTGAGTCTTGAGTACTCTCTCAAGGTATTTCCCTAATACACCCCTTAAGTTTATATCCTCGCACACCATTTTTTCTATTTTATTTTCATTTATATAAATTCTCTAAATTAAAAACAGACCAAAGAAATAAAAATAAATAAATAATTTGCACAATAGTGTTTTACTTCGTCAAAAACGGACGGTCGAGATCCTGAGTTGATCTCGAACGTACGGTTGTGCCTGTTCCGGTGCAGTGTTCTTTTCAATCGAAGCCAGTATCGCAGCTCTGTTTCCTTCTCTAGTTTTGGAATACCGATTCAGGGTACCGAAGGAGAAGAAGAAGCCATTGAAATGGCGAGCTATCTGTGGAGAAAATATGCAGATTATTTGTACACAAAGTGGGAGAAAACCTTCCTTTGGGACATGGTTGAACCTTTCAGAAGACCCAAATCCTTTCCTCCTTTGGTCACTCTTTATGTTACTGCTTTCTACACTGGAGTCATTGGTGCTGCCATCACTGAACAACTCTACAAGGTTCTTTTTTTTTTTTGTTATTATTATTATAAAGTTTTCAATTTTTTTTGTGGGTTTATTTTTTTAATCTGTTTAGTGTTCTTTATTTTTATTTTATTGTGTTTTATATTTTGTTTCTCTCAACTGTGGCACTGATTGGATATCAATAATTTTAAACATATAATTCTGAGGGGTTTTTATCTGTACTGTGTGATGGGTTTGAAAGGAGAAAATTGGTGAAACTTTTGTTTTGTGTGCCTAGTGTTAGTTGTTGTTTGGGATTCTATTGGTTATTGACTCCAAATACAATAGCCTTTTCATGACCAGTGTGATGGGGTTGTTTAGAACATTTTGTGGGCTGTGGCTGCTCTAATGGGGTTTTCTTGTGATGGGGGTTCTTTCTCTTAAGTTGGAACGCCAAAGAAATTTAAATAGAGAAGATTTTGGACATTAGAAAACATGATTTTGTTGGGATTTTTCCAAGTGCTAGTGTTAGCTTGCAGCTAAACACGGCAACTCATTTCAAGGCAAAACTCTTTGTCCTTTTTCTTTTCTTTTTTTTACTTCCTATTTTCTTCCTTATAACAAGTTTGCATTTTGTTTTTGGTTCGTGTTGTTGTTTGTATTCCAAGGAATTTCAGTTTTTGCAGTTTTCATTTTCCGGCGTTGGTTGCAGTTGTTGGACTTTGGATGCTTTCAATTGAATTGCAGTCACAATTTTCAAACTATTGTTTTGAATGTTTAGTTACTAGGGATCTTGATTCTTGGTTCGGGATTTTGGGATAGTTTTTGTAGAAAATCAGAATTCAAACATGTTTCCGTTTTTATTTCCTATTAATTAGGATTGATTATGATTGATTAGGATTGATTGTGATTGATTAGAATTGATTGTGATTAGGATTGATTAGTCATCGCTTAGTCATTCTTAGCGATTCTTTCTTGTATAAATACTCACTCATGTAAATTATTCAATATATATATACAAAAACTTCTTTTCAATATGGTATCAAGAGCGGGTTCGTTCCTACCCTAATTCAAATCTGAAATAACTATCCAAACACTTCCATCACCGTCAAACACCTCCTAAACACCTCCTTGAATCTGTCCAACACAGAAACCTAGTCTACTAACCTTCGATCAAGAAAGTGAGGTGACCATTCGACTCAGAAGGATCCGACGAGTCGACCGCTGCTGGACGCATCGCCGTCAACCGCCGCACGCGCCGTCACACGCACGGCCAGTCTCCGGCGCGTGAGCTCCACGCGCCGCCTTCCCAACGTCTTTTTCCGCCGCGACTTGCACAGACCTTCTCGCCGGCTTCTCCCCTTCCTGTTCCAGAGGTCAGGTAAAAAATTTACAAAACTTGATTTTTCATCAACGGTCAACCCTTCTCTTTCTATTCATGGCTTCCTCAAAACACTCTTCCGCCTCCTCATCTGCCCCAAATTTTCAGTCCTCTGGAGACAACTTAGGTTTGCAGATCACCAATCACCGGTTGAACGGTAAGAATTTTCTGCAATGGTTTCAATCAGTTAAGTTGGTCATCCGGGCAAAGGGTAAGATGGGCTATCTTGAGGGAAGAATTAAGAAACCTACTAAGAATTCTCCTGATTATGACGATTGGGAGATTAATAATTCCTTGGTCATGGCTTGGCTGACTAATTCCATGGAACCACAGATTGGCCAAACCTATCTGTTCTTTGATACTGCCAAGGAAATTTGGGATGCTGTTCAACAGAATTACTCCGATCTGGAGAATACCTCTCAAGTTTTTGAACTGAGAAATAAGTTGAGAGACTTTCGTCAAAGGGGTATGACTGTTACTGAATATTTTACTGCACTAACGAATTTATGGCAGGAATTGGATCTTTATTATGCATCTGATCTTAAGGGATTGGAAGCTAATACCCAATTTAAAAAACACTTGGAGAAGGAAAGACTGTATGATTTCCTTGCCGGACTCAACCGAGATCTTGATGAGGTTCGTGGTCGAATATTGGGGCAGCGACCGTTACCTTCACTTGCTGACGCCTTTGCTGAAGTTCGTCGAGAAGCCAGTAGACAGAGAGTCATGCTGGGAGAAAAGGAGTCGCTTGATAAGCCTGATGATATGTCTGCATTAGCTGCCAACCGTACCATTGACCGTTCCTCCGGAGAATCAAAACGGGATGGTCGTCCATGGTGCACCCACTGCAATAAAATTGGTCATACCCGTGAGAAATGTTGGGAAATCCACGGGAAACCTGCAAATTGGAAGCCCAAAGGACAAAATAAAGGTTGTGCATATCAGGTCTCTACTGATGACAAGGTTGATGAGCCTCATGCATCCTCTGACTCTGATGGTGTCTTTCTTAGCAAGACTCAGTTTGAACAACTTCAGAGACTTTTGACTCAACCTCCTAAGGCCACTAGTCATGTGGTCCAGCAAGGTACAACTTTCCATGTTGATAGTCAAAATCATTGGATCCTTGATTCTGGAGCCTCTGGTCATATGACAGGTAATCTTGGCTTGTTTTGTTCATACACTCCATATTCTGAACCTTCTCGGGTCAAGATCGCCGATGGCAGTTTTTCCCAGATTGCGGGACACGGAACCATTAAACTTTCTGAGCTGATTACTTGGACATCAGTTCTTTATGTTCCTTCTCTGACTTGTAATCTCATTTCCATTAGCAAGCTCACCTCTGAGTTGCATTGCTTTGCTAAATTCTTTCCACATGGTTGTGTTTTTCAGGAACAGGACTCGGAGAGGATGATTGGCAGTGCTAGAGAGGATGGTGGACTTTACTACTTTGAGGAGGATGTTACTCATGAAGCTGTTTTCGTAGAAAAAAACTCTATGTTTCCTTTTGATTCATGTAATGATGTTATGTTGTGGCATCGTAGGCTAGGCCATCCAAATTTTATTTATCTTCAGAAGTTGTTGCCAAACTTATTTATTAATAAAAGTCCAAGTTTGTTTTCTCGTCAAGCATACTCGTGCTCATTATCCTTCTAAAGTTCACCATGACTCTTCCCCATTTTCCTTAATTCATAGTGACATATGGGGTCCAGCCCGTGTTAAAAATATTTCAGGTACTCGATGGTTCATTACCTTCATTGATGACCATTCTCGAGTCTGTTGGGTGTATCTTCTAAAGGATAAGTCCGATGCTGCATTCGTGTTTAAAAAATTTCATGCCATGGTTCAAACCCAATTCCAAGTTGCTATACAAATTCTTCGTACAGATAATGGCAAAGAGTATTTTAACTCTATTCTTGGAGAATATCTTTCCCAACATGGCATCCTTCACCAAAGCTCGTGTCCTGACACACCCCAACAAAACGGAGTTGCGGAAAGAAAAAACCGACATCTCCTTGAAGTTGCTCGGGCTCTTATGTTTACCACTAGTGTTCCTAAATATCTTTGGGGAGAGGCAATTCTCACTGCCTCGTATCTGATAAATCGAATGCCATCTCGCATTCTGAAATTTCAGTCTCCTCTTTCTAGTCTTGTTCGTATCTTCCCTTCCTTCCGAGGTGTCTCCTCCTTACCTCTCAAGTTATTTGGTTGCGTTGTATTTGTCCATATTCCCTCCCATCAACGGTCTAAGCTTGATCCTAAGTCTCTTCAGTGTGTCTTTATTGGTTATTCTCCTACTCAACATGGCTATAAATGTTATTCACCCTCTCTTCGTAAGGTCTTTGTCTCTATGGATGTCACTTTTTCTGAGAATGACCCTTTCTTCCCCTCGACTTCTCTTCAGGGGGAGTCTATAGGAGTAGATGAAGATCAGTCATGGGAACCTACTGATGCCACGGTATTACCTCTATTTTTGGAAACAGGGGGAGCTACAGAATCCTCACCATCAAGAGCCTCCTCAAGATGGGGACAAGTTTATAGCAGGCGAAAGCCTCCTCAAAGTGTGAATAACCCAGAGCCTCTACACTGCCAGGATTCTGAACCATGTTCTAGTTCCAGCACCCCAATACTTGAGTGTCATGGTGAAAATGATCTACACTTGCCCATTGCTCTCAGAAAAGGTACTCGATCTTGTACTACTCATCCTATTTCTAATCATATTTCATATGGAAAGTTGTCCCCAGGGTTTCGTACTTTCACTACTATGTTGGATAGTACAAAGATACCGAGAAATATACATGAGGCTCTCAATGATAAAAAAGTTGTCCCCAGGGTTTCGTATCTGTCTTTGAAGAAATGAATGCTTTAGAAAGAAATGGAACTTGGGAGATAGTGACCCTACCCAAAGGAAAACAGGAAGTAGGATGCAAATGGGTGTTTACAATAAAATTCAATGCAGATAATAGCATCAACAGATACAAGGCAAGATTGGTTGCAAAGGGTTTCACTCAGACTCATGGGATAGATTATCATGAGACTTTTGCTCCGGTTGCTAAAGTCAATACCATCCGAGTTCTCTTATCTCTTGCTGCCAATCTAGATTGGCCTCTGCAACAGTTAGATGTGAAGAATGCATTCCTAAATGGTGACTTACATGAAGAAGTCTATATGGATCCTCCACCTGGTTTTGAAAAGGGAAATAGATCAATGTGTAAACTAAAAAGTCTCTATATAGATTGAAACAATCTCCCAGAGAATGGTTCGACAAATTGTCACAAGCAGTCAAAAGAAGAGGCTTCATTCAAGCACAGACTGATCACACTCTCTTCCACAAACACTCTAAGAATGGTAAAATTGCTATTCTTATTGTATATGTAGATGATATAATTCTTACAGGTGATGATATTGAGGAATTGAACACCTTGAAGAAATTTCTAGCAACTCAATTTGAACTCAAAGACCCTGGCACTCTCAAATATTTCCTTGGTATGGAAGTTGCTAGGAGCAAAACAGGCATCACTCTAACACAAAAGAAATATGTTCTAGATCTTTTGTTGGAAACAGGAATGTTAGGGTGTAAACCTGCTGAGACACCTGTGGAACCTAATACCAAGTTAGGTATTGAAGATGGGAATGAGGTGGATAAAGAACAATATCAGCGATTGGTTGGTAAACTAATCTACTTATCTCATACGCGTCCTGACATTGCCTTTGCGGTGAGTATGATTAGTCAATTCATGCACTCACCCAAGGAGAA